CTCTAAAACAAAATCCACAAGCACCAATTTGGTGACTTACATTGATTTTATCTCCCCTATAGTTGGCTCTCAGAGACAAGCTGATGCCATTTATTTTGATCTGAGCAATGCATTCGACCTTGTCCCACATTCTCTTCTTATTCGCAAGCTTAGTGCTACTGGGCTTTCAGGTGGTTATGTAAGCTGGTTTCGCAGTTACCTATCCAACCGGAAATCCCAGGTCCATGTTTCTGGTGTTCTTTCCTCACCTTTTGAAGTTCTCTCCGGTGTACCTCAGGGATCTGTCTTCGGACCCCTTCTCTTCAATGTGTTTATTAATGACATGTGTGATGCAGTTGCCCATTCTAAGTGTCTGCTTTTTGCTGATGCCGTCAAAATTTACCGAGCCATTAGTTCCCCTCGTGACTGCTATCTACTTCAGTCTGATGTTAACTCTATGCAAGGTTGGTGCATTGCTAACTGTGTGAAACTCGACATCAGTAAAACTAAAGTTATATCCTTCTCCAGGAAAACCAACTTACTTATCTATGATTATAAACTTTTCCAAACGTCAGTAGCCCGGACCAATTCTGTAAAAGACCTGGGAGTGTTTATTGATGCTAAGCTATATTTCCATGACCAGGTCAATTACATTTTCTCTCAATGTGCGAAACTGTTGGGTCTAGTTCATAACATTACCTACAATTTCTCTTCGCTAGACTGTATGTTCAGTTTGTACACTACGTTAGTTAGGTCTAAACTTGAATATGCGTCCGTAGTCTGGAATTCGATTACGTCAACTGATGCCAACAAGCTGGAACGCATCCAGCAGAGGTTTGCGGCCCTTTGTTTTAAACGTTTCTTTCCTCAAGTTCATTACAATTATTCTCTTGCTCTTGAGGAGTTAAAATTACATACTTTATGTACTAGGAGACATCGCCTTGATGCTCTCTTTCTTATTCAAGTTTATTTTGGCTCTAAATTCTGCCCTTCTGCCCTGGAAATTGTTGGTCTCCGAGTTCCTGCTCGGTATATCAGAGATTTTGCATTGTTCAATGTTTGCTCCTTATTTAAAAATTGTCCCTCTGCTAGATGCGCAGCAG